TGTGCTTCGTTGATTTCATCTTAGAAAGAGTTGTAGGAGTCATTGGAACTGAAGACTGTCCTGATACACATGATCTCTGCAAGTGGATGTAAACTTTAGTGTGCGACTGTAAATGGATTCTGTTCCTGTCTCCAGAGGAGCTGAGTTCATGCTCCATTTTGTGTCAGATTAAATGTGGTTTTCTTCTCCAACTGTGGATTTCATAAGGTGCCAAAGTGCTCCATCACCACATTAACGCCACAAACTTCAACTGACAACAACACTGAAAGATGAAACACTTCAGCTTCAGGAGGGTTTGTGCAGACGTACCGGTTTGCAGGCGACCTGCCGGCACTCTGCCACCGAACACTGGACGTCGCCGTCGCTGCAGACACATCTGGAGCAGCTGCTGGGCTTCCATTCCTCGCCGTCCCTGTAGGTGGCGCCCTGCCAGGAGCACGACCCTGGTGGAAAGAAACAGAACGAGGCAGTCAGGTAATGAGCTGCCTGTTCGAGCTCCAGCACACTCGCTCATTTAAAAGAGAAAAAAAAAAAAAAACAAGTGCAGTCGCTAATTAGCTGCTAACCGCTGGGATGCATCACAGCAGCTCGGGGACATCATTAAAGTGCAGATTAACCTTTCAGCTGCTCGGAAAAGTCGGAGTTTCCCCCAACAGCATCTGGTCCGAGAGGAGGGACGGGTCTGAACATACAGGACTGAGGTGTTAGCGGGAAAATGAACGCTGGATTACCCCCTGAAGACCTGATCGTATGTCAGAGATGACTCTATTAAAATCCTCGTTAATTAAGGTTTCAGGAAAACAAACAACAACGAGCATCTTTGGGTTGTCTTAATTAAAAATGTACTGAAAGTAGGTTTAAAAGGCAACTTTTCTTGAAAAAATAACAAAAACATCTTTAATTCATCAGAGCCGGAAACTAAAAACAGAAAAACTCTGACTGTAGCTGGTGTGACGCCTGGTTTAGTGAGGAAAATAATAATAACAATAATAATAATAACAACCTGTGATATTTAATCAAAATGACTGTATTTTACACCTTTTTGAGAAAAAAATAATAATCTAAGCTTTGACTTGGAATATTTCATCAAAATGACTCTGTTTTACCTGCTTCTTTTGAAGTTTTGTATGTTTTTGGTGTAAAGTCTAACAAAATATCAGCTTTAAATTGTGATATTTCAGCAATATTACTGTCTTTTACTCGTCTCTTTCCAAGTTTTGCTATAAATAGATAGCTGTTGTGGAAAATCTAACATACTTTAAGCTCTGAATTGTAATATTTCATCCAAATATCTGTATTTTACACCGTTTTGCACAAAATATATTTCAAATTCTAAGCTTTAAATTGTGATATTTCAACAAAATTACTGTATTTAACTTGTCTCTTTTGAAGTTTTACCAAACAGACAGTTTGTGGTGGAAAATCTTACAAAGTCTAGGCTTAAAATTGTGATACTCCATCAAAATTACAGAATTTTACACATCTTTTTGCAAAAACAAAACAAAATCTAAGCTTTAAATTGGAATATTTTATTAAAATGACTGTATTTTCTTCCTTGCCAAAAACAAAACCATTTGTGGTGGAAATCTAATAAAATTTAAACTTTAAATTGTGATATTACTTCAAAATTTTCATATTTTACTTGCTTCTTTTGAAGTTTTGCCAAAAATAAAAAGTTTACGATGTAAAATCCAACAAAATTTCAGCTTTAAATTGTGAAATTTCATCAAAATGACTGAATTTTACACATCTTTTTACAAAAACAAAACAAAATCTAAGCTTTAAAATGTGATATTTACTCTAAATTACTGTATTTTACTTGTCTCTTTTGAAGTTTTTTCAACAATAAATAGTTTGTGGTGTAAAATTCAACAAAATTTCTGCAGCAAATTGCAATATTTCATCCAAATTAAATTACTTTTACATTTGTCTTTTCAAGTTTTGGAAAAAANGTTCAGCAGTTTCCATCCACTTGTAAAGACCCATGAATACGATTCAGTCTTCAGCTTCTAATGACTCCTGTAGCTTTGAATGTTCTATGATGGAACCATTGAAACACGTGAATCTTTGGGACAAAGTCTGCTGGATCAAAAGTATACATACATAATGGTAACATTTGGTTAAACGTCCTTTATTGGTTATTTTCACCTCAACTGGACAAGTCTGGTTTCCCTCCACAAGCTTCTTGTATCAGAATTGGTGCTGTTGAGCTAAATTTAATAATCGTTTCTTCATCAGTCCACAGGTTCTTGATGTGGTTTAAATCAAATCAGTCAAATCAGGTTTATGTTCATGTTGCTGTACATACACAGTAGTACAGACCAGATGAGAGAGACTTTCTTCAGGATCATTTAATCCGTCACGTCTGGGATCAGACACTAAACGTTCACTCTCGCTGCCTCCTGAAGGGGGCGCTGTGTCCATGCACGCCGCCATTCGTTGAACATGGAGAACCTGTTCAGCTCCTGGTAGGTCTTCAGGGACACAAAGACACACACGATGGTGTGATGATGGTAAAGCTGCAGATGCTGCCCAGAGCTAGCTGTCTGTCTGCATCCCCTCCAGCTGTCTGTCCGTCTGGGATGTTGTCATGGAGCCATGTTTCTGTTAAAGCAGACACACAGCAGTCCCTCCACTCTCTGAGGGTTTCTCTCAGCAAACGTAGCTCGTTCAGCTGGTCTGGAGGGGTTAGCCTTTAGCTTAGCATGAATCCTGCTGGTCTGGAGGGGTTAGCCTTTAGC